TTCTAAGCCGTCACCTATAGTCTTCGGCAACTGATTTCAGCTGACACATTCCATTCGGCAAGTCCGACTTCTCCAACACGGCTCAGTCCAACAGTCAAAGATTTTATGAACTGTACATTGTTTTAGTGTTTTAGACCCATGTAGTAGAGCAGAATGAACTGCGGGATAATAAATACAGATGAATATCATGGCGGCTCCATAAATGGTATAAGGTGGCAAATGGCAAGCAGAGATTTCGTCGCTCGCTGACCACCAGGACTGACCGAACTTCCCAGGTAAGCGAGGTGGTCCTTATTGTCAGATAGATCACCACGAAAGGTCAGTCCTGAAGCAACAATTTTTACCTGGGTTTCGAGAAACGCATTTCAAGCATTCTCAATTTGCCACTCAATGTGTCCGGAAGACTGTATTTTGTCAGCGTCCTCATTTAACATGATGTTATCTGCGTATTCCAAGTCTACTAAGGATTGTCAGACGGCAAGAGACAAGCCTTTATAAGTACTTCTGTGGTGAAGTTGAATAAGAATGGAACGAATGGACATACTTAATGAGCGCCATTCTTTGCACACAGCTGACTGGATAACTCATCATAGGCTGTAACACGTCCATGGGTGTTCAAGTACACAACCTTAAACAGAGTGATGTACTTTCTCGGCACCCTTTTCAGTGAGAGACAATGGCATAAACCTCTTGATCAGATATCGGCTTCTAGGGTTCTTTGTTTGAGATTTTATTGTTCTAATTTTACCTGACAGCAGAAGACCAGAATGCAGCGGAAGGCTACATCAGCGTAATACTACTGGTCACCCAATGGGAACATTCCACTACTTTTACACCCTGTCTAATCAACAGTGCGAATTAGCCCTTCGGATTCCCACCATATTGGGGCAATTTACACTACAACGGTGACTGCTTTTTGTCTTAGTACCATTCAATAGTCCTTTCTGTCCTGGTTAGGCCTCAATGAACAAAGTGTTCCACCAACATCACTCGTTGGGTCATTGTAATATACAATCCCGATCACTAAGTCAAGGTAGAAGCTATCAGGAGGGTCCACACTAACATGGGATGACGCGTTTTTGTGTCATGAACTCAGCTGCTATGCATCATGTTAACATATCAAAGGAGGAAGTTCCAAAATGAAGGGTGAAAAAATGATGACAAAAGTAGTTGAGTGTCCCAAAAAGGTAACTAGGAGAGAGGATAAAATAATGACATTCGGTCTGATGATTGAGATAAAGATAATTTATGGATACATTTGAACCGGTGAACCATCCTACTGATTTCAGCTAACATAGACCCCAACTTGGAAGTCTACATTCTCCTTACTTGTCTCACTCCGAAAGTTGAGGATTTTATAGGGTGTGCATTGCTTAAGGCTGGTCACGCCTAACCCTTTACCAACTCAGATCTACTTCAGCTAACGCTATGCGGTGAAGCAGACGGTGACTAGACATGCGTAAGACATATCCCAGCCATCTGAGTCAATGAAAATTTTCAACCTCGTCAACTGACTTCTGCCCAAAGGTCTATGCCCGAATTTCTACAACGTTCTGCCTTCAGAAAATGAGAATAAAACCGAAACAGCGACAGCAGTAACAAATCGTCCGGGCCACTGGAAGCAAAAATTATGTTGTTAGTAATGCGGTCTGTGTGGTGGATTTGTCACCCACAATCAACTAACGTTATCACTTGGAATGTTGTTCGGAGCACTTCGAAACGCAACTTACCTGACCTACTGTTTAAGAAACGGCAAAATGAGTCTCTCGTGCCATTCGATGACTTAGTTAAGGTTCGATGAAAGTACCGTAAAGATAAAGGACCAGACAACTTATCCAACGTTCCACAAAAGGATGGAAATTAGACTATAATCAGGGGTCCGACTGAATCGTTTGATAATCGACAACAAACTGAAAGTGTTCCATCATTCTGCAGCAACACCATTGTCGTACACACCTCTAAAAGATTTCACGAAACGTATGCAACTCTCATTAGGGTAACAGTCTACTACCAGTAGCATCTAACCATACTGCCGAGGGTCTTCGATACGTCTGAAGAGGTTATTCTGAAGGAGCGACCGCGTTTCTATCAAGCCCTGGACCTACTGATCACATGTTCACCCTCCGTCAGATGCTCAATCAGTCGGTATCAACATGTAATTTAGCGTCACTGTTCAAGCGACTACACCTCACATCAGCGCATCAAGATACAAGGCAACAAAATGAAGGATAGAGAGCTATGGAAAAAATGTGGTGAATGGTTGCAGAACGAGGGAGAGGTGTTAAGCAAAAATCGTAATGTGGTTTGACGATTCGAATGAAGGCAGTATGTAGATGCATCTACACCACTGAGGTCGATTCTGAGTCATATATTTTATAATCTCCAACCACCAGTTTCGGCTGTCATAGGAATCCTAGACATGGAAGTCTAGAACGCCATCAACAATGGTTGTGTTGTTCGATGTTTGGGCTGCCTTTAATATCTTGGAGAAGACCACACACTTGATTGATGTCATAAAGATGTGTTCCTGAGAATTTTATCAACATCTTTAGAACACCTCAAGCAGCGTAAGAGCATACAACCAACTCTCTCCATTGTTTCAAACCAACTGTGGGATTGAGTCAGGTTTCGCGATTTCACCATTTCTCTTTTACTTTAACATCGATGATATTTTCCTGACACTTTTGAATGAGGTGGGTAGTGATGATGTGGACCTTTTACCACGTAAAAGGCTTTCCAACCTCGAGTATGCGAACAGTATCGTTTCACTGTGTAACAACACTTAGATTACTCAAATCACACCTTATCAGTTGACGATGATCAGTGTTCGTACATAGGGTATGTAACATGAGCTGGTAATGTGGAAAGTGCATTCACAAGACTGACAGGAACGGACGCTTGTATTCACCCTTGGTAGTGAACCGTTGGAAGTAGTCGAAAGGTTTGGGCAGCTGGATAGGAGTGAGTGTTACTGGAGATGTGACTGATGGGATCTCTAGTCGCTGTTTGAAAGGTAGAATTTGATACGCCAGTCTGGGTCACTTTTGGGGCTATGGTAACTTTAGACTGTCTGAAGGTGAGGTGTTCTGCGAGTTGGTACAGACATATCGTCAACGTATGTGAATCGTCGGATGCAGTTAGTTGGACTTCATTTGTGTTCGGAAATGTAATGCGTGTTTTATTTGAGTAGTTTTAGAACAGCTGCCTATGTATTTGTTTCTTTCACTAGGGATTATATCTAACTGCTGATTAGCCAACCCTTGGGATTCAAAGTTCTCGTTAATGAACAGGGTATGCAGTGGCACCATGAAAACACAAGGATGTACTGATTAAGGTGGAATACAACAAAAATGTGGGCTAACCGAAATCAGTGGAATTTGAGTAATTTATTGACATCACTCCTGATTATTTATTTATGTAATGATAGAATGAACTACTCTTTGAAGGATTTCAAAGTGAAGAAGTTTACTGCTTTTTTTCCTGCAATCGTATCTACCAATTCATTTGTACACGTCAAAACAGATAGATTGGTCGAAGAGAATGTTCTTGTTTTTTCGTTTATCAGCTTGCGTCGAAGAACTGAAAGTCTTCAAGGTTCACAGGTTAAAATAGTAAAATCGCTCAGTGAATACTTGATACTGGATATAATGTAGACATATCGACGTCGTTCAGACAGGAGAAGCCCTACCCCTACTCTTTTGCTTAAGCAGTTGCAGTTAAATCGCTGAAATCTGATCTCTGTATTGAAAAAAATATCATTGTCACTCTCGCTTTACCTTGGTGGTTTTAATCTCCCAAAATCCTTTAATTTTTGAAGTTGTTTTTAAAACTTGGAAATCCACTTACTTTCTGAGTTGTGTTCATCGTCTTACTCATTTTAATGAAAATGTTTTAACCTATTATGACGCTTACTTAGGCTTATTGTCATTTAGAAGTTTTAACATAGTTTTTGACCCCTGTCACTTTTCTCTATTTTTTCTGGAATCTACATTCTGTCATCTTATTAATAGTTAACCTTGAAGTAGTCTTAAAAACTTAAATTTCACTGATCTCATTCAACCCATATCTTTGTTATCTTTCATCCTTATGAAAGCATTGTTGTCATTTGATGAAGGGGCATTGTATACCTTGTTTATTACTATAGACATTATATTCTTATGATGGGTTCTGCAGCAGCTGTAGAGAACTTGGAAAATACATGCATGCTAATTTTTCTACTGCTGTTCGTCATAGGAAAGTGTTGTATCACGCTCTGTTTTCTCACTCGCATCTTTTTTCTTGTTCATAATCTTGTGAAGTTTTGAGGCTCATTTGCTGGTGTGTATGTTGCTCCGAATTCGTATACGAGGTTAGTCATAATGGTGAATTTTGTGTTGGCTAGTTTAAAGGTATGATTATGTAATTTAATTTTGTTATTTCTAGGTAGAAACTATTAAAACTAGTGTTTGAGATGCCGGTGAGATGGATACAGAATTTCTTTTGTTTCCTGTCGATCTTTCCTTTGCACGCTGTGATGATGTGTAGCAACTGGACGTGATACGAGTTTTATATCGACCTTTCTTTGTTTCTATATCTTCCCGTGGAGACACTTTGTCGTGCTCATCCACTAGATACCTTTGTATCCAACTGGTGATTCATATGCTCCCTGGTGTGACTTATTTTCAGTTTGATTTCGGGTATGTAAGTAATTCACTCTGTCATGCAGTACAATAAGTAGTGTTATTCTTCGACCCGTTCTCTTTTTTAACTTTATAAAAGTTGTGACACCTGGTTGTTTTCAAGGACCTTTGCTTCTTTAGGCAGCAACATTGTAACAACTTATCTACATTTTGTCTTATTTCTACTAGCCTCCTTCCGAGACTACATCGTACTTTTCAATTTAATTTTTCACATTCAAGGTCCTTTCAGTCCCATGTATCTAATGTCGTTCGGGTCTTATTTTAAAGTTACTGTATTAGCTTATTTTTCTACATACTAATTAGATTTTTTTGTTTTATTAGCCACACCGGGTCGATTTGTTGACCATTTGAAGAAAACTAAAGGTTTTGATGAGCTAAAATTTGCAAATCTGCGAATCCTGGTAATTGATGAAGCAGATAGAATGCTTGGCACTGATTTTGAATCTGTCATTGAAAGGATTTTGTGCATTGTTCCTGCACGACGTCAGACCTTTCTGTTCTCTGCTACAATGACTGACAAGGTTGGTTTTTATTACTTATTGTGTGACTTTTTTTCGATTGGAAAGGATGTGATTGTAGCCTATAACCTTCCAGTAAATTTTTATGGTTGTGTTTTGGCCCTTTATTTCAGTTATAAAATAGAAGTATATTTTATTACTCATTTTGGTTTATTTAGAATTTTAACCGTTACGATTATAGCGCAAGCTCAAATTAAGTTTATCCTTTCAGTTATGCGAAAATTTTCCTGTGACTTAAATGATTTTATCTGTTTTGAGGTCCATACAAATGGATTAAAAGACTTACAGATGAGATGATAGTGTAATGGTAAAAATTAACGACTGTGGTAGAATGTAACTCCATTTCAGTTAGTTTATTAGATGTATTGCAGTGTGAAACAGGCAATTTACTGTCTAAAGTCATATCAAGGTAATTCCACAAATTTGAGACTTCTTTATATAGGTCTTATTTTCCGTCATCCTTTGTGAATGTGGGTAGCAGAATTTTTCACATATTTAGAACTGGAACTGAGCCACTCTTAACGCATGTATTTGGTGTAGATCTGATGGACAAAGTTTGGGTTATCAAACTCCTTGTCTTCCTCGATATTTCTACTATCTTAGTTCCTTACGCAACTACTTTGCATTCTTGATTCCGGTTTTTTTAGCACCAGGTTAATGATGTAGTTATACCCTATTGTTTTACACTAGACTGTTATATGTTTATGATATATATAAATACGATTGCACACTTTAAAAAATATCGTCGAAAATGAAAATTTTCTTCGCTGGATTATCTCTTATCAATTTCTTCCGTTATGCGACTTTGTAGGATTATAAAACTGATACCACGTCCCATCCTATTGCCTGATTGTGTGTTGTCACATGCATAGCGGAATCCAAGTTTTTCTCTGTAATCCCTTTGTCAGTAGGGTGCGGCAGTCTTGAAATCGCTAATTTTTTGTTCTCAGACAGCCTAATTCATCCTGGTTGATTATGCATTTACCTTCTCGATTGTCGCAAGCGGTTTTATAAACTAAATAATATGGCCTAATTGGATATGACATTTTAATCTACAAAGCTCGTTTCATAGTGATTTAGTAGGTTTGAACGATCCTATAACCTCGGCTTCATCGGGAATTCCCTATAACTGTTTCGAAGCGCCTTTCTTGTATGGTAACACTGTGGGGCTTTCGAATTCTCCCTGTAGAATGTCGCTATTACCATCATGATTGTTATTATCAGGACTTGTATTACCATCGCTTCTCATGTTTTTCGATTTCAGGTGAATTTACTGATAAGCTTTTAGGTATCCTGTAAGTGTGTCGTCTAAATATTTAAACCCTATATTTGGAACAGGACTAAGTGTTTTATGGGCTATCCGTCCTCAAATATCCACATCAATGATACCAGGGAAACATCTATTTGTGTACACATATTGTTTTGAAACTTAAAAGCGTTAGACGTCAGAAATAACTGAACTCCCGCGATGATTTCCTCTAATGGCACATTAATTCAAACAGTAAACTTATGTCATCATTGAGTTCATGTTTAGGTAAGTTCGATCAATAAATAACTTTCTGTTTATAGAGAACACATCAATGATCATAAGATACTCTTTGTTACGCAATCCAGCTAGGATAATCTCGTCCCACGATAGAGTTGTGATCTTGGGATTCCCATCCTTATGCTGCTTTTCTGCTATATTTTTCTACTTATTTTTCAGAAGCTGATGTAGTAAGATGCAGTAATGATGAAGTATTCAAGTAATCCATTGTTTGGTTGATATAAGCATTCATGATACATTGGTGACCCACAAAGTTTTTAAGTTATTCAGGTTGATTTAGACAGTTAAGATACATATACTTAAATTTAATTGTAGAAGCTTTATATAATTGCAATCATATAAGTATTGGAATTTTAATTTCTATTTACCTTTATTGGTAGGTTGGGAAACTCCAGAGAGCTTCAATTCATGATCCAATTCGTGTATCAACACGTAAAAGCAAATTTCAGAGTTTGACTAATTTACGTCAGTATGTGCACTTAGTTCCTCAATGTGAAATCGATTCCTATTTGGTCTACTTACTTCGTGTTGCACTATGTCCTGAAATTCAGGCTCCTGGTTTGGATATAATAAAGCTGGATGCCACTTCAGCCGTTAATGAGGACTCGAACGATAAGTAAGAGTTCCTATAGACATTTTTCCTACACTCCACTTTTAATATTAATTTGTCGCTTCTGAAACATTTTGCTTGTGTGATGGTTTTTGAGTTAGTCACCAAGTTGAGCCCCTAATCTTGATCATTCTTAACTCTGTAAAGTACTGGAATCGTTTATCTTGTTTATCGTTACTTGATTGAATTACACAATTAGTTCATCAGTACATGACTATCAAGTTGCCTGATGATTTATAAATTTTACTAGTATACATAACCAATATGCTGATCTTAATATGGAAATCATTATGCAACATTACGAACAGAATACCTAGATGTCTTACAAAGTCAGAAAGACAGGAGAAATCAACATAAAATCTCATACAAGTGCATCGGTTCAAGTTGCCACACTTCAAAGCAGTGTGGAAAAAACAACTATGTAGAAAGAAAATGATACCAAAGTAGACGAAAGTGTATGCGAGCAGAAAGAATTTAAAAATGAAGGTTGGTGGATGTTCAAACTTCTGAAGACGTCAAAAAGTGAATATATCCCCTACATTGGACCGATTCTCAGCCATGTCAGCAAAGGTCTGTAACCACTCATTCCTATTATTTCTCGAATCCCAGCTAGGCAGTCTGCATCCTCCTACACGGCTCACATCGACAGTTGGAGACTTCATGGATGGGTGCCATGTTTTGATGTGGCCATCCTGAGCCTTCTTCCAGCACAATCCTACTTCGACTAACACTGCATGTTGAGGTAGGCAATGGATCGACATGCACGACACATGTGCAAGCCACCTCAATTCGTCAAGGTTCACTGCGTCATCGTCTGACTTGCCTCCCTTACCTAGTACCCCCCGCTTACCTCACCATTGCTCACACGTGGATTCCACCGTGCATGAACGATGCTACGCAGACACAAGATCCAAAACCTGTGAACTTATCGTCTCATATTCATTCATCGGTCAAATCTCATAACCATATCATAATACAAAAAGGATTGCATAACGGTATGCCCCTACTTTAATAGGTAGTCAGATGTCTCACCGGTGTCAAACGTTACGTGTTAACAAGTAACCAACTAAGGCTAATGCAACTCGTGAATTAAGTGAGATGGTCGACACATTCCACTATTTCACTGTCTATCCATCGAACTGGAAGTAGTCGCAGACCAGTCCTGGAACCATCGTCTCACATTTGACAGGTGCATGACTCATGCCGGCCAAACATTTACAGATTTTTGCTCAACATGTTCAGAAGACCCTGCGTTTTGTCAGCATCTTCATCCAGCAGGGAAATATCATGTGCATACTCCAAATCAGCCAGATGACCTCCAGAGAGAGAGAGAGAGAGAGAGAGAGAGGGTAGGCCAATCACTGTGAATTCATTAATGCATCTGTGACGGGGTTGAACATGAACGGTGATAGTGTGCATCGGTAACGGACACGATCAGTTGTCATCAATTCAGATGGCAACTCTCCGTTATCCAACACAATACACAGCTGTGTGAGTTCGATTGAAGAGCTTGGGCTAGGGTTATGTACTTACTTGATACTAGTTTCCTTTCATTTTTCATTTCATTATCAGCATAGGACCAGACATTGCTGCGTAACGGTACGAGTTGTCACACCTCACGTCAGTTCATCAAGTAGAAAGGTAGTGAGGTGAAGGATGAAGATAAGAGAATGCAGTCAAAAGAAATATAAAGTACGAGAAGAAAGGAAAGAGGAGTGACAAAATGGTGAGATTCGGTACAGTGTCGTTAAGATGAGGATGATGTATGCATACATCTGCGCCACTCACATCGGTTCTCAGCCATATCACCTAGAGTCTCCAACCACTGGTCCACTGTCCCGTGGACCCCAACCACCTAGTCTGCATCGCCCCACATGGCTTAAACCAACAGTCAGAGACTTCATACATTGGTACCATGTTTTAGTCTAGCCACCTCGAGCCTTTTTTCAGCCTGACCCACCTCAGCCAGCATTGTGTGATGAGGCAATCGGTGACTAGGCATACGTAGTACGTGTCCCAACCATCTCAGTCGATGAACGTTCACAACCTCGTCGACTGACTTACCTCTTCTCCCTAAAACACTACACCTGACTTCTGCATTACTCACATGGTGACACCACGGAATACGTCCTATACTACGAAGGCAACGGTGGTCAAACACCTGAAGCCTTCTCATGTCTTCCACTTTCAATGGCCATGTTTCACAGCCATACAGTAGAAGAGAGCGGACTGCTGTGCAGTACACGCGACCCTTAATAGACAAACGAATTTTACGGCGGCGCCATAGGTGGCGCAAATTGGCAGAGGCCAATCGAGCCTTTTGTATCCGCGCAGAGATCTCGTCGACCACTGAGCCACCACGGCTGATCCTACTTCCCAGGTAAGTGAAGTGGTCAACACACTCAACCACTTCACTCTCTATTGTTAGCCGCGGTACCGCTGAAGACCAGTTCTGGAGCAACAATTTGCATTTGGGTGGTGAAAATCTCATCCGAAACATTCTCAAATTCCCACTGAAAGCGTTCAGAAGACTCTGCATCTTGTCAGCGTCTTCACCTAACAGGACTATGTCATCTGCATATTCTAGATCTAAAGAAAATTCACCTGTGATTGGGTCAACGTCTGTGTAATTAGGTGACGAGAGGGAAACCTCCATAAGAATATCTATGATAAAATTAAATAAGAATGGGGATAGTGGGCATCCTCGACGGACACCACTTGATGAGTACAGCTCCCTGGACAACTCGCCATAGGCTCTTACATGCCCACAAGTGTTCGAGTAGAGAGAGCTTTCAATAACGTGCTGTACTTACTAGGCACGCCTTTCAGTGACAGACATTGCCATAAGACTTCTCGATCAACGGAGTCAAATGCCGCTGCCTTCACGTCGAGAAATACAGCCAGTGTCGGGCGTCTGTAAGCATGCCTATGTTCCAGGACCTGGCGCGGTGTGAATATTTGGTCGATACACCCGCGGCCAGGTCTAAAGCCTGCCTGGTTTTCTCGGGCTTGCTGTTCCCGAGCTCCACTCAGGCGTCGGAGGATTATAGAACCTAGGATTTTGGATACTATGTTCGTCAGGCTTATTCCTCTGTGGTTACCACAAGAGGACTTCTCGCCTCTCTTGAAGACAGGGATAATGAGTGACTTAGACCAGTCGGAGGGGATCGTATTTGATTCGACGCTGCATTTACAGCAGACTGAAGATGGCACCAAGCTTCTTCTGGATGAGTGATAGTCTTCTGTTCCAATAACTGCCTAGCCAACTTCTCACTAAACACGGCTCTGGTGTTTTCGTTGTCCAGCAGCACTCGTAGTGGTTTTGTTGCCAAATTTTCTTCACGTCCATTGAGACGCAGGCATATATGTGCTCGGACCAACGCATGATCGCTGTCCAAACACGTACTCCAGAAGGAGCGGTAGTCTTCCACCGATCCTCTCCAGCGATGACTAATAGCAATGTGGTCTATCTGTGTCCATCGCTGAGTTGAGCTCGGTGGACGCCAGGTCAGACAGTGCCTTTCCTTATGTCTGAAATTGGTGCTGGCTAAAAATAGGCGGTTATCTGAGCATAGTTGTAATAGGCGATCACCGTTATCTGTACGTTCAGCTGGGATTCCGAAAGTGCCACCTAAGTGCCTTTCTGCCTCACTCAGTCTACCCACCTGTGCGTTGAGGTCACCTGCAACAACCACTACGTCCGAACGTTTGGCTTTCGAGAGGAGGTTAGACAGTTTATGGTAGAACTCGTCCTTCACTTCATCCGAACTACAGTCAGTGGGTGCGTAAGCAGAGATTACAAAGAGACAACGGCGAGTCTCACTATTCCTTTTAGTTCTCACTGTGCCGTTCAGCCTCATAGCGCAGAGGCGACTATCAACTGGGATCCAGTCTAGTAGTGAGTTTTCTGCCCTGGTGCTTAATGCTATACCTACACCTGCAAGACCACGAGAGCTAGCTATCGAATCTCCAGAAACTCGAAGGGTGAATTTTATGGATTCACCAGATTGGTCAGGAGAGGTCAGGTGAATAACCACACTTGGGTCCTGTATGCGTGTCTCACAAACGCAGCACATATCCATGCCCGAGTTGCTAGAGTCTTTGCCAACGAAGCCTGACTTATTGACGGAGGGTGCGGACATTGAAGGCTCCAATATGTAATTTGGAGCGTGGTTTAAGGAGACCAGGGATGCTGTTTTGTGGACTCAGACTATTGTCGAAGGCTGCAGAGGTAGGAGAAATTGAAGATGATGCAGTATTGTTAATTGAGAGACGTGAAGGAAGATTAGAAGGTAATGATGGGGGAGGTGGATAGCAGTCAGAGGAAACTTGAGTGCTGACAGAGTTGTGAGGGCGGTTGACACTTCCCGGCTGCCCACACCGTGGAAGGCTATTTCTTCTTAAGGTACCTGAAAGAGATTTGTGTGACCGCAGAGCCCATCGGACATCTGCTTGAGGCCTGTCACACCAAGCCTTTTGAGTATGATTATTTTGAACTTTTGTATTTTTGGGGCCGGATGGTCGAAAGGAAACGACAAGTGAACCAACACCGCCGGCCCGGCAGACCGTGGGGCGTGGTGGAATGTGTTATTTTTGGGGCCGACCTTTTCTAACCCCCCCTTCCACTGAGAAGGCAGCATCAGCATGGCACTGCTGGTCATCCAAGGGAAACACCTTACTGCTGTCACACCCCATCCAGCTAGCAGCAGTACGACTTCGCCCTCAGACCCCCATCATAGTGTAGCAATTTACACTATAACGGTAACTGCTTTTCGTCTAACCACTATCCAACAGACCTTTCTGGTATGGTAGGACCTCGAGGGAACAAGCGTTCCACCAGCATAGCTCGTTGGGTCATTGTGATATGCAAGTCCGACCACCACGTCAAGGTAGCAGCTATCGGTCGGGTACTAGTTTCCTGATCAGGCATTGTCACATAACCTGTCGGTAGACAGAGTCAAATGCCGCCTTCATGTTCTGAAACATGTCAAGTGTCGGCCGCCGGT